TATAAAAAATACACTTAATTATTTTTAATTATTCTTTATTAATTATTTAATTTCAAATAATAACTACTAACTATTATATAATTAAACAATTATATTACTTAAATTCACTACTTATTTTTTACTACTCACTTTCTATCATAAGCCACTCACTATCCGCTAACTATTATCTATAACATATTACCCGCTATTATTATCCACTATCTACACAGTATTTATTATCTATTAAATTTTAATCATTATACCAAATAAATCATAAGAATTAAATTTTAGACCTATTACTAAAAGCACGGTTAATTTTACTATTAAATCATATGATTGATAATTTTGCGAGGAATTATTTAACCAACGTAAGTGCTCATCTGCTGGAGTGAAGTGTGGCAGTCTATCATTGTTTTTCTCGTGAAAATAAATGATACCCAGCAAATCTCACCTCTTTGAAACCGTAGTAATCTTGAACTGACTCAATATCCCTAGTAATTTTCTCAGGTAACATCTAGACGCGTATGCCATGGAGAAGAGATCAATGGTATGCAAATATCATAATCAATATGACAATCTCACTAATTAAAAGGACAATTGTATTGAATGCTTAATTTCCAGTCATTGAGATTGTAACAGAATACGTTTAAACTGTTAAAAAGAGAGAACGGATGTACAGATATTTTCTCAGATGTCTTTCTTGTGCAAAGTGTTTCAACATTAATCCGCAATTTTAGTAATTTTCTCAGTTAGCAGTAGCGTTAATCTTTGCATGCCATGGAGAAGAGATCAACACGATAAAAACCAAATTGCCATTCATTATAAGAGAATACGTTAAACTGTTAAAAAGAATACTGCTAAAATATACACAGAAGTCTTTCCTGTGCAAAGCTTTCTATTTCCTACCACCAACCATACCTTGGGTAGCAGTACCTGACAAACTAGGTGAAGTACTGCCTACCACTTTAAGCTTTCCATCTGCACTACCAAGCACATTCAAATCTTCAAACAGTCGATACGATGGAATAAATGGCTTCTGGCCGCCTGCAGGAGCAGGGCTTCTAGGTCCTGGACTCACCCGAGGATCCCTAATTGTGGATGAACCGTTGCTTGCTCTTGAGGTGTCTGAGCTATAGAGCTGAGAAGGTCTAGCTGGTTGCATGGCTGTATTTGTCATGGTCATGCTCGGCTGGGGAGTTGGGAATATGGTATTTGTAGCAGATGAGCTATTTTGGCCGTTGAGATAACCTGGTGTTGTTGCCCACGGCGGAGGAGGATACCTAAATGAGTATTGAGAATATTGGGGTGGTGACAATGGCCGGAGTTGAGAATGGGATTGTGCCTGGATTTGAGCTTGTGACTGCAAAGGTGGCTGGAAATGATTTTGCGATTGTGCCTGTAACTGAGGTGGATTATGGAATTGTGACTGGATCTGAGATTGTGGTTGGGACTGATACTGGACCTGAGTATGAGGTTGTGCCAGGAACTGAGATGTATTTTGGGATTGTGATTGAAACTGTGGCTGGGGTTGAATTCGGAATTGTGATTGGAACTGAGGTTGGGACTGAAATTGTGGCTCGACTTGAGATTGGTATTGTTGGTGAGGCTGAGACTGAGGCTGAGACTGAGACTGAGTCTGAGTCTGAGTCTGAGTCTGAGGTTGAGGTTGGGCCCAAGGAACAACATAAGTATTGTAGGATAGCTGCCCCTGATTTCCAGGATATGTCTGAGAAGCATAAGGTTGTCCTTGTGAGCTGGGAGAAACAGGTACCTGATTGATGGTATGGTAAGATGTAGATGGAGTGTGAGTGTGGGGGGAGGTTGATGTTGTTGACAAGGCCAGACTGAGAAGGTCAATCATGTCCTGCTCTTTTGTTGTCCTCACTGGTGCAGGTGGACTGGGCAGAGCTAATGCACTGCATGTAACTGGGGCTGAGGTAGTGGGGTCATATGATGTTGCTGTCGTATTATTCATCAATGCAGAAGTCTCAACTGTTCCAGCAGCTGCGCTCTGATCAGGTGTTGACTGAGCTTTGGAGTGCCTGCATTTACAAGACCAAAATCTTGTATTAACTAATCAAAGCCTGGACTGGCAGCCATTTCTATGATCAATACAACCATACAAGGTGAGCCACAATTTAGGATTGCAAACCTTCTAGCTAGCTGGGCAAAGTCATCCTCCACTTCTTCATCTTCGTCATAATGGCTTCTAGTCATAGGAACAACAGGTACAAGGGCACTCACGTTTGTTCTTGGGCTAGAATCTTTCACTTCAATTCGTTTGTCAGAAGTTCTGACTTCATTGGTAGTTGGTTTGGTGACTAAATTTGCAGCTTGACTTGGAAGGGAAGAACCTGAAGCTATGGCATCATGTTTTGCAAGCAGACTTTGCAGACTATCATTTAGTTCAAGACCTCGACCCAGCAACTCCTCATCCCTGCCACAACCAACAAGACAATTTTAATATTAACAAATAAGCCATGTGTAGCTGGTAAGAGAAATAGATTACGATAGATCCCAAATATGAAGATAACTACGGAGTTTCCTTTATTGGTTATATCTAATATTAAATCTAAAATATGATATACAAGGCAGTTAATATAGATAAGCTAAGAAGACTACATGCAGAGAACCAGACTTTCGAGAAGAAACATTTGGAGGGAACTAACCCAGTTGTTGTTAGCATTTGCATGAGCTTCTTTTGGTAGGAACGACAACGATTAACAAGATCAACTATTATTTCATCTTTCACTGCCTGTGAAAACAAACAAAACAAGTTAAGATATAGCTCCAAAACTGCTGTAAGAGTATTGGTTGAAAGTATCAATCTCATACCGCCTTGTCACCAGGGTTCACTGCTTGCAGCATGTCACTTAAGAGATCCACAACATCCCGCATAGAGTCCAAGCTAGACAAGCTAAGTAAAACAAACAAAAAGAAAAATCAGCAAAAGCTACAGAAAGAATGCAGCACATACAGATGATAATAAACAGCTTCAAGCTTTGGTGTGTGCACAGAAATGAAGTGTTACCTTAAACTTTCAAATTCTGTAGCCATTGTCTCATCAAGCCTTCTAGAAGAATTGCTTGGCATTCCATAGCCAGGTTGTCTCACCATCAGGGTGGCAGGTGGTGTAAATATTAGAGCAGCATCCTGTGAACGTTGTGGAAATATAACTCCAGAACGCTGCCATTTATTATAAGACATGGAAATAACAGCAGTCAGAGTGCAAACAGAGATTTGTTGTTTCTATGGTAAAAAAAAAGGTGCAAACAGAGAAATTAATCTAGTGGAAATACAGTAACCAATTACTCTGTTGGTCTCTAAAATGTTTAGACATTGTTAAAAATCATATAACATGTGTGAATTCAGCTAGCCAACTTCCAAATAATATAACATCAGAAGAAATGAATTTGACATTAGAATAAATAAATTAAAGAACAAATGTCAATATTGGAACTTGCTGGAGAATCATCATAGGATATTAATTTAGTATTAAAGATATATTCTTACCCTTAGTTCTTCATATGCATAGTAGTACTGAGGATGTTTTCCCCCAGGACCACCAAATGCTTCCCGCCAAGAGTCCAACAGAACCAAGATTTTATCCCTCACATGCATGTCTGCCTGCAGGTTGCATCCATACAGAGGTCAATAAAACTCAGATAGAGGATTCACGCAGAAAGAGCAACTAAAGACGGAATCTAAATGATTGTAAACAACCAGGAAACAAAACTCTCTTTGCATGAAAACAACCGTTGACACCATTCTTGAAATAGGCATGAACCACCAATCAAAGATCATTTTAAAGAATGAAATATGGACGATTTCTGAATGAACCTCACCACTTGCAGTAAAATCACTGTTCATATCCACCAATAACAGTTTCCTGCCCCACCAATTGTAATGACCAACACATAAACTTTCCACTTATTGAACATAATTATCATACTGAGTCCAAACCTCATCAAAATTTTCACTTTCTCTCCTCTAAGAGGACATCCATTGCATACACAAACCTTCACTACCATAGATTCTTTCAATGTTCTTATTCCTTGTTTATTTGCATCATATGCTTTTGGCCTCCTGAAACCTAATGGCTTCAAATCATTAATTCTATGGCCCTATAAACCAAATCATTAGGTTGAGCAAAGCCGAAAAAAATACATTACTAGAAGTGCAACAAAGAATGCAGTAACAACTTTACAACTAGAACCACAAACACTGATGTATCTCAAGCTGAAATATACAACAACAGAAATTGAACAGTTACCTTCTTCCTCACAATTTTTACCATCTCCCCCAATATATTTCTGTCAGCAATCTGAAAATGGACATAGTCACCACAATTCTTCACCATTGTCTCCAACAGCTACAGATAGGATACACAATCAGAGATAAAGTTGAACTTTGTAGTACATGGTAACAATCCAAGATTATGAACAATTTTTTAAAAAAAAAGAAAAACACCTATGTGAGAAAATATATTGACAAAATTGTTGCTTTTGAACCAATAATAAAAGGGTACCCTTTTCGCAGTCCAGACTGCACCAGATTGCAAAACAAGGGTCATTAGATAGGGGCCCAATATTAGGGGGTCTACCCCAATTCAATGGTTAGTGCTAGGCCACTGGATTGCATAACACTTTTTCCATAAAAAATAACAAAAAAGTGTTGTCCATGAATATTAAGGGCTGTCCCCTATCAAATTATTCTTGTTTTACAGTCTGGACTGCTAAACAGAAAACTCATAAATTAATCTGCATAACATGAAAAGGATCACAGTAGAAGGCACCGTTAGAGCAAGCAGTTGAACTTTCAGATTCTTGTGCTGCAACCTTCTCTTCACAGCTTTTACAACATCCTTTGCCTGCCTGAGCAATTCAAAGAATACTCATCAACAGACAAAATAAAAAAAAAATAAATCTTTTTAAATTTATCTCCCACACCATCATCTCGCGACAGACAAAACCCAAATAAAACAAACCAACAATCTCAAGAGTAAGAGAAACCCGAAACCCATACAAATTTGCATGTTAAATTTATTGAACAAGACATCATCAATATCCGTTTTCTGGTAAAGGAAAACGATCAATTGATCTTCAATAAGTACTATACAGTGAAATTTGAGGAAATTCAATCAAAATAAATAAATAAATAAATAAAACGAACTTTCTCTTTAAAAATTAGAGAAAATCAAATACGCACGTAAACATGCATGAAAATTCCGATATCAAATTCTAAAAAACGAAGAATTGATTAAAAATCAAAGTCAACCATGCAAAAACATAAAACAGAGAACATGATAAAAAAACAAAAAAACCATAAAACTCTTATTCTTTTAGTATTTACCAATGGTGTGAATTGACGGAATCACAGATATCGATGTTCATAGTCCAATCAGGACCGATCAGAAGGTCGCTCGTCGCCTTCTCCACTGCTACTGTAGCTGACGATGAAGAAGCGGACATCATCTTTTTCTGTCTGTCTTTTAATTCTGTCTCCCGACTCTGCCCCTTCGTCAACTTAAAAACCTCCGTTTGTTTGGCGAGAAAATTCGCAGAGACGACGACCTCAATTTCCTGGTAAATATTCCACTATATGTTCCGTTTGGATGGCTGGAAAATTGAACACCTTAACTACAGAGAAAGTTGAAAATTCAAAGCAGAATCCTTGGCCATTTTTCTTGCACGGGTCGTTTCTATTTTCTGCTTTCCTGCGGAAAATTCGTTTCTTTCCTTTATTCATTCTTCTGTCTGTTCCCCGTTTTATGACGCTTCTTCGCGGTACGAAACTCCACGCGCTCCAGTTGGTAATGCTATCACGCGCCCCCATGGATTGAGTTAGCGCCGTTGATAGTGCGCGTGATGTGGATTCACGTGAGTTTGAGGGTGAGATTAGTCAGAATGGCTTTTATATAACTTTTTAATTTAAATTTTACAATGATGAAAATTTAAAAGTGATGTGGAAATTGGATGACAGGGATTTTACATGGAGTCTCTGAGTCTCCAAAGGAAAATACTAAAAGAGGTTATTCTCGGAAGTCACGATCAGGGGCTGTTTTGTCATTTTCTCAAATGTCAGTTCCACATATCGTCAAGTGGGCTATGTCTCTTGGAAAATTAAGGACAAAGGCAACTAGTTGGGCAAGTGGTGTGGTCGCTAATAATTCCTCATTTTGTTCCGACATTTAAAATATCATAATGTTTTTATATATTGTAATAGATAACATCTAATTGACATGATCCGTATATGTATGACTGTTACATAAAAGATCATTTTGTTTTATATACGCAGGAATGCATATAGAGGAAGTGGAGAATTCTTGTGATATCAACTGCCAGGAGTGGGCATTCGGGTGGGTAACTGAATAGTTACTTGAAAATTGAATCAAAAAAATGAATTTGGTTTGATTTTAATGATTTTCAAGTTTTATTGTTTCGGTTTTGATATTAACTAAATAAGTTTTGGTTTGATTTCGATTAAATCTTTTACAAATCAAAACAAAATATGATCTTAATAAAATCCAAAATTTGGATAAATATGATAAAATATAATAAAATATGAGATAAAATATAATTTATTATTGAAAAAAAATTGATTAACATTTATTTAGTAAAAACAAAAACCGAATCGATTTTATTAGTAATTAAACCGATCAATTTGTGAAAACTTTGGTTCAGTCTCAATTCTCAAAATTCAAAAAAAAAAAAAAAGAGGTTATTTTAAAACTAATTTCAATTTCAATCAAAACCAGTTTTTGCCCACCCCTATCAATTGCATATGATGAATAGGAAATCATTTCTTCGACATATATTATATGTCAAATGCCATAAGATACATTGAGTTTAGCATAAGCAATTAAGCATTCTTTGGAGACAAGCAAATACATGTGTGTCATGGAAGTTTATATATATATATGAAATGATACATATATCCTGCAAAATTATATATTTTGTTACGCGCTAATGGTTTTCATTACTTGTGCCATTAAAATTTACAGTTTTTGCTATTTATGCTATTAAAACTGATAATTTCTATTACATACTGATAGTTTTTGTTAGTATGTAAACGACCAGTGTGCAATGAAATATGTAATTTTGCAGGGTATACGTATCATTATCTATATATATACATTTTTATTTATTCAGTTATCTCCACTGTGATCATCACTGATCTCATCAAGAATCACCACAAGAGCAATTATGAAGGCATGGTCAACATTAGGGTATACAGTCACGGCAAAACTATCTGCATCAAACACGATCGATTGCATAGTGTGTTCCTTATGCATCTGCATTTCCATCCATCAAGATATTTCAACATTAAGTTTACCGCTATACAAGGCTGAAATAAAGTGGGTTTCAATCTTACCTGTCCAATGACAATATCTCCAGCATATATCGTGCCCGATCTCTCAATCCAGCTTGCTTTGACCTTGAAATCTGGAACATTGCTGGTGTTGGAAGCCAAGAAAACATCTAATTCAGTCCTGACCTGGAGCATTGATGATTTCTTAGTGCTGAAAATCAGATCACCAGGATCGTTGCTGTCCCCTCTAAAAACTTCCCATCTCTTATGTGCAGTCAGTATCTGAACAAACAAAAAATGCAAATACAACTTGCTAATGTTAGCAATGTATACTATACATTTCACCATGAAGATTCTAATTCACTACAAGTTATATCAAAAATATTAAGAGATACAACCCAGTATCATCATTTTTAGTGCCATGGACAAAATCAGTAAACTTCCACCCCTAGTCATGTCAGTACAGCACAATATTCTGTCCAACCAGATGAATGTAGATGTCACCTCACCTGACGGCTTAAGTTTTTTTTGGGATAAAAAGCACAGTAGAATGTGGTAAATCTACACTAATTTTAACCATAAGTACATTTCCCAGACACCAATTGTTGAGATGGGACAATTGACAGTCCCTAACAAGGAGAAAATTTGAAGATTACCTGGTAACTAATAGCTAATTTCTTGTACATGAGGCTGATCATGCACCACCAGCAACATTTTTTTTGATTAACTAGCTAGTTTATGGTTTTCTGATAGTATGTTTCCCACACAAATGCCAATTTGCCAATTCACAGCACAAGTAACAAACTAAACAAAAATTTTCAGAATATCCTATCTGTAATTTATTTCATAATTTTGCACTAACAGAGACAAACGCTTGTGTTTTTAACATAATCAATGCATACTGTAACAAAAAAGGGGAATAAGCACAACCATTGCAATTGGACTTTTCACCTTTCATATCACAATTTAAAGTCAAATATTACTACGTCTCCATAATGGGAACCCTAATTTCATACTGCAGGAATTAGAAATTGTAATTAAGACAAATGTAGAAAGCAGTACTTGAAATGAATAAGCAACATTAGACCTTCTGTTTGAGAGAGACGAGAGGGTGGCCGGCAGAGTCGAGCAAAGTCCGGCGATCACGAATGCTGATCACATTGTTTCTCACCTTGAAGAGTAGGTTGCCTTTAACATCCGTAACACCGAAATTACCCTCCCCGATTTTCAAGATCTTCTCCGAGATCGTCAGGTCCATGGGGTGGGGCACGATGAACTGCGGACCTATCACTACTATCGGGTTCACCAGCGGTGGATACGCCAGTTCCGATGCCGGGAACCTTGTTTCGCCGGAGGCCATCTGGAAAACAAAACAGGGGATAAATGGCTGAAAATTATTCTGATAATATAAACAACAAAAAAGTGAATAATTTGATCGCAGAGGAAAAATTATTTTGGGTACGGAAAAAGATAAAGAACACGTTCACAATCACGCCTGTTGTCGGTACTGGGTTTCTGATGACGTGGCTAGAACAGTCAACGTCAATAGTGCCACACCAGTAGTCAATTATACAAAGATATTTATTTTCATCCAATCATACGGATATAATATTTTTATATAATTTTTATATATTATTAAATTATT